AACTTTAAAAGTAATTAATTATTAATTAAATAAACGGTATTATAATTATTTATAACTATATATTTAAAAGTAAATATAAGCTTATAAAGGGAATTAAGAAAATAATAAGATTAGTATTTTTATTATTTATTAGGTCTAATTTTAGAATAAAATAACGTTAATAATTATAATTATAACGTTTAAGGTAAAACCCTTAAAATCCTATTTTTTATTAATTTACTAAGCTTATTTAGCCTTTTACTTTTTTTAAGTATTATTATTAAATTTATTAAGGGCCCTTATTTAGATCTATTCTTTTTAAGTAAGGTCGGTATAAAAATCGGTATATTTTAAGTAATTATTTTATTAATTTTTAAGTATATTTAGTTAAATATATTCTTATTTCGATTTTTAATAAGGGTAAACTCTATTTTTACGTATTTAATTAGTTTTAATAATAGAACCCGTTATATAAATAGTCTATAAATAAGTTAGGCTTTACTTCGTTCTATTTAAAAGAGTTTAAATAACTTATTAATATTATAAAAATTATAAAGTTTTGTTTATAACTTTTATTATATACTACCTCTATATAAAAAGTTATTAAATATTTTAATATAATAGCTTATATTAGGTACTATTTTATTTTTATTCTATTTTTATAATATTAATAAGTTCTTAATTAGACTAGTTTAAAATAAAGCGCTAAGTAATTATATAAAAAGGTTTTAAAAATAAGAGTTTTTAAACTTTAAGTAACTAGAGCTATATTACTTAATAATAAATAAAATAAAAATCTTTAATTTAAATAATAAAATTAATATTAAAGTTTACTCTACTTATAACTATATTAAATTCTTTTAAGTAATTATAAATAAGCTTAAGTCGTTAAAAATATACTTTTATTTAAGAACCCGGATTATTATATAGAAAGAATAGTTAAATAAATTAATTAGTTCTTTTTTACGTTTTCTAGGATTTCTTAAATAATAAAGTTAATAATTTAATAATCTATAGATTCGTATAATCTCTTTTTATAATTAAGAGATCGTTTTAAAGGCCGTTTATTAAATAAAAAGGTATATTCCTTAAAAAGTATATTTAGTTAGTTATAATTAGTTTAAGTTTTATAAAAAGAGTAAATTATTTTATAAAGCCGTCTTATTTTACTAATTTATCCCTAGTATCTTTTTTAATACTTTTTATTAAATATAAAAATCGAGTTATTCATTATATTTAGTTATAGCCGCTTAATAAGCTTATTTTTAAATAATATTTCGTATTTTAATATATTCTTTAATAAATAGAATTAATTTAATAAAAATAAAAATTTAAAAGGATTTATTAATTATTTAGGTTTAATAAGTCTTAAACGTCCTTTAAATAAGCCTTAACTCGTAAAGCGAAGTATTATTTTAATTAATTTTATTAATAATTAAGCTTATACTTAGCTATATTAAAAATCTTTTAAAAATATAATTACTTAGAAATAGGTTTCTTAAGTATAAAGGGGGTTAAAATTAAATATAAGAAAGGATATAATAAATTATAGCTATTAAAAAATAACTTTTTAATAAAAGTTTAGGGGTCTAAATTAAAACTAAGTTTATAATTATTATATAATTATAATAAGAGTATTAATATTAAATATAAAGAACGGTTATTTATTAAAAATAGAAAATAGGTACGAGACTTACCCTAAAATAAAGAATATAAGTAAGTATAGACCTCGGTAATTATATAACTAAGATTATGTGACATGCAGTAAGACCACGGATGGTTGAAGCCATCACGACATGACTCTTATCGATTCCTTTTGTAAGCTGAAAAGCTAGCTTGTTCAAGCTTGTTTTCTAAACCTCGCATGCCTCTAGGCTAGCAGTGGGCTTATAGCGGCTCGTGTGATTGCTTCAAGTTTTCGGTCCAAGTTCATCCTGACCAAAGCCGAATGCGCCTAATGCGTCGTCATAACAAGTAATAAGTTCGTTTCGCTTATTTTTTTTTTCTATGCTCACGACGGAGGGCCTTTTTGATAGGTAAATGTGTGAAACGGGGTCAGGCGATCCAACAGCAGAAGGGAAAGGAAGAAACGGAAGCCCTGGGGCTACTGATCCAGGCTGTGGACACAGCTTGAGCCCGGGACTTCCTTATTATGGAGCAGAGATGAACCATGCAGCCCTGCTTTCCGATTGGATGATTCCCGATAAGTCAAACCCCCCACTTCCCGGCACCCCCCTGTTTCTGGCACCCACAAAAACGCGAAAATCCACCACAACGCAATGCCCACCCCCAACCTCCTTTTATCACAACATTTTCAATTCCAAATGGGCTCATTTTTGCACATACCTTCTTCTATATCTAATGCCTCAATATACCGAAGATCAGCTTCGTCAGGCTCTCGAGGACATCTCAAACGGCAAGAGTCAAAAGAGCCTCATTGGAGTATGGGATACCACGATCAACCCTCCAACTACGTCTCCAAGGTGGTCAGACTAGGAAAGTGGCTTTTGCTGACTGGCAGAGGCTGTCTCCTGACCAGGAGAGTAAGCTGGCACAATGGGTTCGCATTCAGGCTTCGCTGGGCCTCGCAACGCACCAACAGGTGAAGGAATTCGCAGAGCGAGTTCTGGCTGCTGCTGGGGATACCAAACCATTAGGAAAAGGCTGGATCTATGCCTTCGTGAGAAGGAACCCTATCATTAAGGTTCAGAGAAGTCGTTCCATCGATTCTAGACGCGTTAATGGGGCATCTACTGAGGTCATTAGGAACTGGTTTAAGTTCCTTGCTATCCCTGAGATCAAGGACATCAAACCAGCCAACAGATATAATATGGATGAGACTGGCATCCTCGAGGGTCAGGAGCTAATGGGTTAGTGCTGGGCATGGCTGAGACGACGTCTGTTCGCAAGAAACAACCTGGGTCGAGGGCATGGGTCTCTATCATTGAGTGTATCTCAGCCTTGGGTAGGGCACTTCGTCCTCTTATCATTTTCAAGGGAAGACGGTCCAACAACAGTGGTTTCCATTACATCTGGTTCCATACGATGGGTGGGAGTTTACAGCAACAGATAATGGCTGGACTACAGACTTAACTGCCATTGAATGGTTAGAGAAGGTGTTTATCCCACAGACTATGCCCGAGGCTGAGGGCGAGGCTCGACTGTTGATTGTGGATGGGCATGGGAGTCATACGACGACAGACTTCATGTGGAATTGCTATATTAACAATATCCATTTACTGTTCTTACCACCACACTCCTCTCATGTCCTCCAGCCACTTGACCAGTCTGTCTTCAGCCCTGTTAAGTCAGCCTATCGGAAGGAGCTCGGTTACTTGTCTCAATGGAACGACTCTACCATTATAGGTAAAAGGAACTTCCTGGACTGTTACCAGAAGGCTCGACTTGCTGGTCTATCAGTCTCGAACATCAGAAGTGGTTGGAAGTGGACTGGTCTACACCCTGTAGCGATGGTTAAGCCCCTGATGAACCCTATGGTATTATGAGCCTTCTGCTAAGCCCACCACACCCAAACCAACCAGTCGGGGCAAAAGCGATGCCATAATGGTCAACAAACTACCCCTGTTGAGCCATGGGATTCTGCTTCCTCTGCAGTGGTCTGGTCGACACCCAGGAAGCTGGCAGAGCTCAGCGGTCAACTGCACTTACACCCAACTCGACAATGATACCAGCACTCAACGGCTGCTGTTCAGGAAGGTGAAAAAGGCTTCACAGAGCAGGCCTGGCAACTGGCAGCTGCCCAGCAGCAGCTGGCTCACCTGAGGGCTCAAGTTACCAACGCTGCAGTTAGGAAGAGGAAGACTGTTCAGATCGATCCCAACACGAAGTTTGCGAACATCAGGGATATCCATCGGGCTCAAATCGAAGCGGGTGAAAAGGAGGTTATTACGGCTGAATCCAGCGACTCTGAATGCCCTAGTGAGGCTGGCAGTTGTATTGTAGTGGGTGTGGTTGAGGATCAATAGTTAATAGTAATGAGGAGGTTGGGTTGTGATCCCATCGTTTTTGTGGGTGCCAGAAACAGGGGGGTGCCAGGAAGTGGGGGGTTTGACTTACATGTTCCGCCCCACTGATTCCTACTACTTACGATCCGTACATTCCATGACTCAATCATGAGCGACGGCAGTAAGGAACGAAGGCCGCCATCTACCGTGAGAATGCCCTAAAAGGGGGAGCCCATGATATAAGGTAGTAATACCGGCCAGATGAGATACTGACCCATCCCGAGCTGAGGCCGATGGCCGAGAATGTGCCTGGCTTCCTAGTAAGAACCCCCAGGTTGATTTTGAGTAATGTCTGTGTTCTACTAGCTTACGAGCTAGGTGTCTAACATGTGGTTGTCTACAGAGGCAATGTTAATTTTCACGGTGACAACTAGCACTTGACTCGGAAGCCTGGAACAGGCAATTTTACAATGCTGATGATTCAATTGGACTAAGAGGCGCTTCCTTGTGCAATCGTCATCACGGAACTCGGGTGACAGAAATTGTTATCGACCCCATATAGGACGGAATCCGGGATTGGCTGTGCATTAATTCGTTAGTAGTTATTGATGCTTCGCGCGCGGAGCTTCGCGCGCGGTACTTTGCCACAAGCCAAGGCCAGATCTACCTAGACGGTAATCATTAACTGACACATCCAACCACCTCACTAAGGGCAGATTGGTCATTCACTGACACCATGCTACCAACTATTCGCCAAGTAGCCTACGTTTCCATGGTATACTACCTCAATGCTTGTGCCTGGGAACAATATGCGACTGCCCATTGGAAAAATCCTCTGCGTTAGTTAACGAACCAGATGCCTGTTCGTCTCAGGCCGTTGCTCTCAAAGTTCACGAGGTTATTTAAGTTGACAGGTGCGCAAGTTAGAAATGGTTTTCTATTTCTGCGCAAGCTATTGCATCTCTTTCCTTTTGGACGTACGTGCAAATATCCATTTCATTCCTCCCAGAATTGGAACATTCATATATACTCGGTTCAAATCAATTTATTGCCACCATGAAATTGATTCGGTCTATCATTAGCAGCGCTGCTGCAGCTGCGTGTGCCAGAGCTGTTTCTGCAGCTGCCCAACATCGGCTTCGTGAGCCTTCCCGCGTAACAGCCGATTTCATTTTCCAAAATGGATCGATCTACACCCTGGACCCGTCATCGACGAAAGCCAGCGCTATAGCCATCAAGAACGGCACTATCGTTCACGTTGGCAGTGATGCTGATGTCAAGCGCTTCATTGGGAGCGAAACCAACATCATCAACCTCGAGGGCCGCATGGCCATGCCGGGGCTCATCGATGTACACATGCATGTGCTGCAGGCTGGTCAGAATTTACTCAAATGTGACTTCAACTACCAACGCCTTCGCCGTCAACAGGTGCTGGACCATCTGCAGGTCTGCATTGACACTGAAGAAACCGCCGAAGATGCTTGGCTCGATGCTGTCAACTTGAACTACGTCTCCCTAGCCATGGACGGCGAAACTCTTTCCAAGGCGGACCTCGACACTCTCAACACGACACGGCCTATGTCCCTGCGGTCAAACGATTACCACACGTTTGTGCTCAATTCACGAGCATTGCAGATCTCAAACATCACCGCATCGACAGTCAACCCTCCAGGCGGTGTCATTGAGCGCCTAGGCGGAACACAGGAACCGTCTGGTATTCTATTAGATGGTGCTAATATACTCATAGCCGGTCCTCCCGCCTTCACTGATGAAGAGAATGCCGAGGCCGGGCGAGCCGCCCAGCAAATCCTCCGTCAGAACGGTATTACGACTTGGCAAGACGCCCTGGCCACAGACGAGCACTGGGGTCCTTGGAACCTGCTAAGGCAGAATTCCGAACTCAGCTCCCGTGGTTACTTTGACTATCGCATTCAGCCCCCTGCTACCTTGGCAGCTGTTGATGTCGTCGTCGCCGAAACCATCTCTCTACTTCGCTCTCGAAACGACAACTCGACTATTGCAGCGCAGCCGACTCTCAAATGGCAGGCGATAAAGGCTTTGTTGGACGGTATTATGCCATTCACAGCCCGGACTGCGGCCAACACCGACCCCTTCTGGCTTCCTATGGGCAATCGAACAAACAACACCCAGGAGTGGGCCCCTGACCCAAGTGCAATTGCGCCATTGTATTGGGATCCCGAGATCTTGACCAAGACTCTTGAGGGACTCTGGTTGGGCGGTGTTGATGCCCATTTACATGTTGATGGTGATCGTGCCGTTCATGTCAGTTTAGACGCTGCGGATGCCTATCACCGTGCGCATCCTGACGCGCCTCCCCTGCGTCTCGCTCTCGCACATGCCAGCCTCACCCTCGAAGAAGACTGGCCACGTTTTGCAGAGCTTGGTGTCGACGCAGTATACCAATTCCAGTTCTCTCAATTGGCTCCCATGTGGGTCCCAGACACGTTGCGAAGCATCGGCGAATATCGAATGGACAACCTCGATGCCTACGCGAAGATAGAGGCAGAAGGAAGGCCTGTGATACATGGGAGCGACTGGCCTGTATGTGCTGACCCTTCAACAAAGAAGTTACGCAGATCCCGCTGCTAACCAAAAGTTCTAGGTCGATCCTCTCGACGTGTGGTTGGCCTTCAAAGCCGGGGTGACACGTCGAGGTGACCCATCCAATCCCAACTCCGCGGCGTCATTCAGTGAGCTCTACAATGGTCCATTTCCAGGACCAGGTATTTCCCGCGAGTCGGTTTTGAGAGCAGCCACCATCAATGGAGCCAAGTTTCTACGAGCAGATGAACAGATTGGATCTCTGGAAGTCGGAAAGCTCGCTGATGTTATCGTCATTGAGAGGAATTTCTTTGAAGTCCCCGACGAAGAACTTGGTAGGAACAAGGTTTTGCTCACTATGCTTGGAGGCGAAGTTGTATATCTCGAGGACGGGGCTCAATCTACCTTTGGCAGGAGCATTACACCCAAGTTTCCCAATGACAATTCGGTTGCGGAGAGGATGGCCCGGAGGATTGTAGGCGGCGTTCATGGAGAAGAGCTGGATGTTCATGCTAAAGCTGAGATTGCCAGAATAAGGAAGCGGCAGGGATGCGGGCATGGACATGTCCACTAGAACTAATGGCCCATGGAGATAAACCACTCATCATGCTCTAGAGGACCCCAGGTTGGGATTAAGTAAGGCTTTATGGCTCTTTTGTTACCATGCCAGTAGAGGACACATTCACGCGGTACCCTAAGTAAGGTAGACATCTTAACCCTTCCATGTTAGATCAAAACATTGTTATTGTATGGAATAGTCCCACTCTGGACTAGTTCGCAAGGTACCCCGCGATTGAATTTGAGCAGTCACTGCCAGCTGGCTTGTGTGATCTGACGTAGCCAGGCTGTCACAGAAGTCAAGGATGCATGCGCGCTGATTGATTATATAATTTTAATTATACGGTTAATTGCTCACTGCGTGGACCGGTGTACATGTCACAGAGCCTTGTGCTATGAGGACATATTCATACTGACGTGGAAAGTTATTTGTTGTCGGCCATATGAAGCTGCAGCTCAACCTTGGGTATCTTGTGTTCTGACAAGTAACATAAGACACTGAGACAACATGGCGAGCACTTGACGAATGAGTGAAAACTATCCCATAATCTGTGGATAAGCGAAACCACTTGTATATGTACCTTCATGAGGGGTAGCACTTAACAACACGTTAACCCGACCCTGTTTCACATATTTCCTTCGATCAAAAACTTCGTCAAGGAGCAAAGTTAGAAGAAACTGGACAATTATAGGGAAGCAGTTCCGTAGCAGTTGATGGAATACCTGTGTAGTGAACCTTTGCTTCTAGGTATGTTGCGATTGAAATGAGTAAGGAGTGCTGGACAATCAAGCCTTGATTCGACGTTATAGCTCAGTGAACTGCGAGCATTCCAATGCCACAACTAACAGCTATAATAGCGTCGTCAAGATCTAGATATATCGAAAAATGCGAGTCTGCGCACATGACCTCGTCTCGATTACAAAAGAGGGAGAAACTGGTCCTTTAAGATGTTCTGTTCATACTCCGGGTGCGATATTTAACTGGGTTCAATTGAAGCCTGGGTGCGTGTGTGTGCCATTAAGTAGTAAGCAAGTAGAGCGACCACGGGATATAATAGATCGGGAACTCGAATACCTTTTCTCCCAACTCGATGGTGAAGATTCCTTTGTTATATTGCCTCATACTACGTAATGATTGGCTTTATAACGAGGCTGGGATGTCTTTTCTGGTAGTGAATTGCTTTGTTAGAGCCCTCTCTATAGTCTAAGTACGCGGTAACTTCTTGTGAGAAACGAAGCCACTACGGCGCAAGGATGTAGTGAGCGGTGGAACCCCCTATTCGGGAATTATCCGCATCTGTTTGCTCCTAGGCTTCTGATGTTTGGCTCGATTCGATGTGATGCTGGAGAAGTCGGGCGTGTCTTGGGTTCGATTCTTTAGGGAGACGGACATGATTGATGAATTTGGAGGCATAAGACGGTAGCGCCGTTTCGATGGCGGCTTTGCGGAGTTCAAATCTGGTAGACGGCGTTTCGTACTTTTTGTTAGTCGAGATAAGACATGTAGTGTATGGTAAATTTGGGCAAGGCCAAGGACTGTTGAGCTAAGCCAGTATGTTTTCTTGTAAGCGATCCGTGGTAGTGGGCATTCGAGAGGATGCTCAGATTGATAACGCAACTGACTTGGTTCGGAATTACAGTGAAATAACACGCATTATTAGGTGTGTTGAAGAGTTTATCCCTTTACAGCTTTTCCCAGGCGAGACTGCGACGTCGTGATTGCAAGTATTTCCAAGGCTTATGCAGAGTGGTTTCTCCTCGAAAGTCGTTCAAGGCTGCAAGATGTGCCCAAACGCCAACAAAGCCGGCAGTACGGTAAATGTACTTTCACTACCTAGTTCATACAGACTTAGCGGTTAGCATTCTAGAAGAACGATCACGTCAACCAGAACGGTAACTAGGCTTTCGAAAACGGCAATAAGGGCAACGGATTCCTCTATTAGAGCTTCAAGGCCCTAAGTTATCCGCATCGAGGAAGAGGGGCAAGAAGCGGCAATAGCAGGTCAGATCTGGAAAGGAAGAAGCGGCAGGGACACTACCGAACATTCTTAGCTCTCCCTACCAAGCTTCTACAACGAAGCCATTTTATCAGCACATTTGAACCGATATAAATACGACCGTCAAGCAGCACTGTAACGTTTGAATCAGTTAGACAGAGGGCATAAGCCGCGAAATTCCCTCGCTAAGGAGCGAACGGACTCGATTCGTCGCCTCTCTATCGTTCGGGCACAGTCAGATCACCCGGGGCCCTTAGGTTGCGAGAGTAAGGTGAGTGCGTGATCCAGGTAGACCAGGCATCTTTGCGGCCGACAGAAATCTGAAATCCGGGTTCTATCAGCAGCAGCACGTGTCATGCTCTCTTGTTTGGCTAGATGTACGCATGTGTCAGGTTCTCGTATTCCCAGCAAATGAGAATCTGCGCCAAGAAAAGCTATGTTGCCTAATGCAAACCAATAGGAAACAAGCGGTTGACCAACTAGAAACTCTGCCTTCATCAAGCCCCCCGCGAAACCATGTCGCTCTGACTATTCCCAATTTACTGCGTACAACGCTACGGATATTATCTCAGTATCATTTTGCTCTTCCTGGCAGACCCTTACTCTGACATGGCCTAGGTATGATGGTGGGTAAGGTTGACTTATACTATAGTTTCGTAGGACTCAATGGGATAACTTCATGGCACATCTCATGGCTACAGTAGTTACACTTGGCTGGACAAAAAGACCCGAAAAAGCAATCATAGGGCGCAATAGTCGGTCAGTAATTGGTTGGCAGTAATGAACGTTTTGTCTTCGACTAATTTACTTAGGCACCCAAGGTTAATCTACCGCAATTTTTGAGAAATAGTGTTTCTTTATGCTCGGACAAGCCGAGCATATGAAGAAGGAGAACAGTGCTACCCCATAGCAAAAATGGTCAGATTACAGGACAAGAGACGTATGAAGCGGCCCGATCTTAAACACTTGGCTGCATCGCAACCTAGACGAAAGTTCGAGCACTCGCCGTAAGGCTTGGATACGGAATGATAGCGGGCCGCGTCCTGAAGTCACGCCTGTCATTTATAGAACAAGCTGTTCGTCGAGCTTGAAGGTTTCAAAGCTAGGAATGTCGTCGGCGGACGCGCCGGCAGCGACAAGCGAGACAAGCTCCTCGGTGGCCTGGCCAGTTTCAGCAATGGCGGTGTAGTTGTACTGGGTGCCGTCGGCGAGGTATAGGACGTTAGGCTGAGCGCAACCCTCAGTCTCCTCGCCATTGCGGGCGTCCAGGGTCGCACCGCGGATCATCTTTCTGTTGTTGAAGCCGTAGCCCAGCCCGCCAAAGGGCCCGTTTCCTAGGCAGATATAGTCGCGGCCAGCGCTGTCCTGTTGCTCGCGGATGGAGCCGCAGTTGGGCCCGGCATGGCCACGCGCCTGGATGTTCCAGTTGCGCGGGATGGCCCGGAACGAGCCGCTGGCGAAATAGGTACCCGCATTGACGCTGCAGCAAGTGTTGGGGTTCCAGCCCTGGCAGATGTACCCGCCGCCGCTGGTGCTGCAACCGCCCGCAAACTCGAGATGCAGGTCAATGGCCGAGGCGGCTGTGGCGAAGAGGCCCGAGACGAGGCTGATGGCGGCGAAAAACTTCATTTTGCTTGGTAAAGACGGAGAAAAGATCTCGAAAGTGAAGTGGTTCAGGTTGCTTGATGGAAGACTGGTTTCTTTGCTGAGAGGCCAGGGATATCGAGGTGAATGGGGGTGGGTTCAATAGCTCCCAGACAGAGACAGGATCGAGCCCTTTTATACATTTCAGGAATATTCTCATCACATAGGTTTTGACATCTCGTTACCGCGTCTTGTCTTCCCACCCAGTCTAGTCTGCCGCTACTCTCCTCTGCTGGCTTCTCGTGTAATCCATTGTTTCCGAGGCTTCAGGAATTGAAAGCGAGAGTGGATGTGTTAACCAGTCTTCTTTGAACGTGTAGGATGAGACATGATGTTGCAATATCATAAGCACAATGTTGCAATACCATGAACAATGTTACAATACCATAAGCACGATGTTGCAATGGGTTCCTTTGTTTAGGTTACTAAGACTGATTGCGTTCATCGTCTCTTAGCGGAAAAAGACAAACGTTGAGCTATCGTGGGCGCGACTCTTGGCGCAGGATCGTATTGCGGCGTACGTCTCGGACTCATGCACTCCAAAAAACCCCTCTCAGTGGAGAGAAGCCCACGCTTTCCTCAAATCGTTTAGGCTAATTGGATTCAAAGTCATTATAGTCGTCTTCCTTTCCCTATGTAGCACTAGGCTCTGATATACATTATGCAGAGTCCTCTCCAGCTAGGGTTGCCGAGGCTGACTGCATTCATCGGCTCTCCGCGGATGAACAGATGGCAAAACTATCGTCGGCGCGATGCTTGATGCATAGCTGTCAGGAGCGATGTAACGCTATAAAGAGCCTCTGCGCCGCATGCTAATGCAGCTTGTCCAGGAGTGTATCCACCTGGTCGCCCGAGTGCCCTACGTACATAATAGCGCGATATAGTGGAAACGAGGTGCTGCATAGTGTTATACATAACATGACTTGAACGGAGTTAGAACTAAAATGCCACGGTTTAAAAGTTGAGCCCGGTTGACCACCATGTCATTTGTTACTAGTAAACACATCGGACTCGACAGTAAGCGAGGTGGGAGTAGCCGATTGGCTATGACTTTTGCTGGGGTGGGTCTTACTGTGTTCGTTAGGGTACCTTAATGAGAAGCCCAAGATTATTCTAATGGCGTTGCCAAGTGAATACACGACTAGAAGCCATCATATACATTTACGAACTCTGCATACTCATAAAATGTTTTTGCTACGGTGGCTCGATGACAAATGAACCTGAGAGTCGCGTGGGAATATCCTTGATGATGATTCAATCCAATCAACAGGGAACGTCTGTTCTTCTTCTAGAGCAAGTGCTGATGGCATCTTTCGCTGCTGCGCAGTGACATCCACACCCTCGGGCACCGCGGATGGCAAGTGCGGGGTTTGAGGTTTCCCAGGAAAGGAGACTGGCCCAAGATAGTGTTCCACAATGCATTCATCCTCCTCGTTGTCTGACTGCGATTGGACATTATCTATCTTATGCTCATTTGTCCCGCGGATGTCGCCACCGGCAGACCTGTCGGTCTGAAGAATGAATCGGATGTTCCACGACGATGCTGCTTCTCCTGCAAGTGATCTCAATCTTTTGTCAAGCACTTCTGGGTCGAGATCAGAAGGCTGGTAAGAAATACTGGGTGTTGGTGCAAAGCCATCTATGTTGTCCGTCTAATCTGGAGACGGTTCGGGCAAGGTAAGTAATTTAGTGCAGGTTCCATAAATTCGTCCAAAGAACCCTCAACTGGGCTGGGCGAAAGGAAACCTGGTTATCCTCATCACCTCGAGGTTCATGTGTTATAAGTCAAACCCCCCACTTCCTGGCACCCCCCTGTTTCTGGCACCCACAAAAACGATGGGATCACAACCCAACCTCCTCATTACTATTAACTATTGATCCTCAACCACACCCACTACAATACAACTGCCAGCCTCACTAGGGCATTCAGAGTCGCTGGATTCAGCCGTAATAACCTCCTTTTCACCCGCTTCGATTTGAGCCCGATGGATATCCCTGATGTTCGCAAACTTCGTGTTGGGATCGATCTGAACAGTCTTCCTCTTCCTAACTGCAGCGTTGGTAACTTGAGCCCTCAGGTGAGCCAGCTGCTGGGCAGCTGCCAGTTGCCAGGCCTGCTCTGTGAAGCCTTTTTTCACCTTCCTGAACAGCAGCCGTTGAGTGCTGGTATCATTGTCGAGTTGGGTGTATAAGTGCAGTTGACCGCTGAGCTCTGCCAGCTTCCTGGGTGTCGACCAGACCACTGCAGAGGAAGCAGAATCCCATGGCTCAACAGGGGTAGTTTGTTGACCATTATGGCATCGCTTTTGCCCCGACTGGTTGGTTTGGGTGTGGTGGGCTTAGCAGAAGGCTCAGGTAATACCATAGGGTTCATCAGGGGCTTAACCATCGCTACAGGGTGTAGACCAGTCCACTTCCAACCACTTCTGATGTTCGAGACTGATAGACCAGCAAGTCGAGCCTTCTGGTAACAGTCCAGGAAGTTCCTTTTACCTATAATGGTAGAGTCGTTCCATTGAGACAAGTAACCGAGCTCCTTCCGATAGGCTGACTTAACAGGGCTGAAGACAGACTGGTCAAGTGGCTGGAGGACATGAGAGGAGTGTGGTGGTAAGAACAGTAAATGGATATTGTTAATATAGCAATTCCACATGAAGTCTGTCGTCGTATGACTCCCATGCCCATCCACAATCAACAGTCGAGCCTCGCCCTCAGCCTCGGGCATAGTCTGTGGGATAAACACCTTCTCTAACCATTCAATGGCAGTTAAGTCTGTAGTCCAGCCATTATCTGTTGCTGTAAACTCCCACCCATCGTATGGAACCAGATGTAATGGAAACCACTGTTGTTGGACCGTCTTCCCTTGAAAATGATAAGAGGACGAAGTGCCCTACCCAAGGCTGAGATACACTCAATGATAGAGACCCATGCCCTCGACCCAGGTTGTTTCTTGCGAACAGACGTCGTCTCAGCCATGCCCAGCACTAACCCATTAGCTCCCTGACCCTCGAGGATGCCAGTCTCATCCATATTATATCTGTTGGCTGGTTTGATGTCCTTGATCTCAGGGATAGCAAGGAACTTAAACCAGTTCCTAATGACCTCAGTAGATGCCCCATTAACGCGTCTAGAATCGATGGAACGACTTCTCTGAACCTTAATGATAGGGTTCCTTCTCACGAAGGCATAGATCCAGCCTTTTCCTAATGGTTTGGTATCCCCAGCAGCAGCCAGAACTCGCTGCGAATTCCTTCACCTGTTGGTGCGTTGGTGCGAGGCCCAGCGAAGCCTGAATGCGAACCCATTGTGCCAGCTTACTCTCCTGGTCAGGAGACAGCCTCTGCCAGTCAGCAAAAGCCACTTTCCTAGTCTGACCACCTTGGAGACGTAGTTGGAGGGTTGATCGTGGTATCCCATACTCCAATGAGGCTCTCTTTTGACTCTTGCCGTTTGAGATGTCCTCGAGAGCCTGACGAAGCTGATCTTCGGTATATTGAGGCATTAGATATAGAAGAAGGTATGTGCAAAAAATGAGCCCATTTGGACTCGAATTGAAAATGTTGTGATAAAAGGAGGTTGGGGGTGGGCATTGCGTTGTGGTGGATTTTCGCGTTTTTGTGGGTGCCAGAAACAGGGGGGTGCCGGGAAGTGGGGGGTTTGACTTACTTGACATACGTGATGTACTCGCACGAGTTCCGCGATTGTAGAAATACTTATTTCGGAACCCTATGCTCGATCGAATTCCGAACTATGAGATCTTACCCTGTTGGATCCTTGGAGTTTCCAATAAGACCCTCAGTCTGGTTAAACCTAAGCTGTACCTTGGGGAGGCTGCCCTTGGAAAATAAAGTTTTCCCACTGCTTCCCCCGCCACATCTCCCACCGGCACCCCACCATGGGCTCAAACCCAATTGAGGTCACATTTATCAGAATGTGAATCTAGAGCATCATTTGCACTCCAAGATTCTATTCGGAATCCGGATGTAATGCTTGGCCTAAAGATTCGGATCCGAGGAGAGCGGCCCGCGCGGCCTCTTCCTGGCACCGCTTACAAAGAAGAAGACTGTCTCCAAGACATCTTGAATGAACTACACTACAAGTCGCATGTTAGAAAACTTGTATCTGACTCTGGAAAGTCCATGACGATAGTGCCAACAGAGATCCTTAAACGTTCTGTACTAGATAGCAATCAGCTAGCAGGCCATTACAAAATACTGTTATGCATTTATTGATACCCGCTCCTAGTACACTATCACTAATTAGGGGCTAATGAATCGATATATTCAGGTATTTAATCTTGTCCCCAAGCTGACTGCAATAAAGACTCAACAGTAGCTGTCTCTATCTCGGGAAACCTCTGGTTGAGTGTGCCAGCAGGCTTGAGATTGCACTTGCCCGATTCCCACATAATGCCAAAGAAAGCCAGAAGACCTTGTAATTGATCCTTAGGGAAATAAGCGTAGTAATCCTTGTGTGCCGGAAGTTCACTGACTTTCCCGGCTTGCAAATCCTCCATCGAGTCGTGCGTAACGCTGAACTTGGCTCCCTTGATCTTTTCTGCCAAGGCCACGACCTCATTCAGAGTCAACCTATCCCCAATGACGTACATCTCCTTCTCCCAGTGATCTAGGCCCAGAGCTTTGACAACAAACTTTGCAATGTCGAAGCTGTACGTTAAAACAACAGGGACTGACCCAGAGCCTGGAACGCTAGCCGTGTTGTGCATCATGTCAACCAGAACCACTAGAGGCGTCATATGCGACTCCCCTCGAGGCATAACGAAGTAGTCGGAGAGAAATCCATTGAGGAAGCAGGTCCATTCGAGTGAGGAACCCTCGAGAGCTTGCACGGCAAGTACTTTGCCTTCTGCAGCGGGGAACACCTTCGACTCCCTGAACAGAACAAGTCAGCGGGTTTCCATTTCGGGTTAAGTATCCGTACTCTGGAGTATAAGTAATCCCCCACACATTTGCGACATATCGCCTCGTCACGGCCGACTTGCTCGCGGCTTGAATGAGATTGAGCTCAGACTCTATGCCAAGAGACGAATTGAGCGTTGAGATAACGGTGCTAATTGAAAAAGTCTCCAGTGTACTACGGAGCTGGTTGATATCCGAGTAGTCAACGGAAAGAATACGGGCGCCAATTTCAGCTTCTTTCTCGGGGTTGGCCTGCGGTAGACCGTATAAGTATCTTCGAAAACACAGATGCAAAGGACGAAGAGATATCTCACTGTTCTTGCGAGAATCACTACGTTGTAAGTTCCGTCCCGGATAATGGCCTCCACGATAGTGCGGCCCATAGCGCCTGTCCCTCCGGCGACTGCAATGATGCTCATGATGGGAAGAAATTCGTTGGAAAACTTAATGCGATAGAATTGTCTCTTGTTATTTCTTTTATGAGTTGGAGCGAGGATTTACTCGATGATAAGGTATAACATTGTTGTGTAGCAATCCTACGCCCGAGCACTTGGACTTTATAGCTAGACGCAATGCAATCACTTATTGTGTGAAGTATACTGGATCATTAGTGTGATTCGTGATGATAAATCCGCTTACAAACTACAGTCTCACCTACAGGGTTAGGTACGGTAGGCTCCAAACCTTGATTTCGTTCCACGTGGTTGTAGAACGATGACTATTCTTACTTTTGATACTTTAGTGGTTTTAAGGTGGTCTTCCGTGCGGCAAAGAGAATAGCCGCCAGCCCAGCCACGACTAGCAATTTCGACCAACGAGATTGCGGACATGTTTCGGCCGGTTCGCTGGCTTTTTTTCCGGATTCCACCACTTGGTATAATGCCTTACTTGCTAGTTCGGCGTAATGCGGTGTATTTGATTGCTCAAAGAACCCGAAACTGCGAGTGCTTAGAAATGTCCAGGCCCTCAGCATGCAGGGGTCCAACTGTTACGCGTATTTGCAAGGACAGAATAGGGAAAGTTTAATCTAGCAAACCATAAATAAAATAATGAATGGGATTTCGGTGACAATGAACTCGCCAACCGAAAGACCTGTCCAGTGCTAAAGCTGGTCGCCCCGGCCTGCTTGCAACACCAATAACCCTCACTTCATACAGACCCTTAAGCGCGATAATAGCTAATGATAGAAGTACTTGTGGTTGGTTGAAGATCCCAGCCTTTCGCTCATAGCACCACCGTTAAGGAGCTTGCAGCTGCATAATATGTGATTGGACTTGGAGTGTACCTAAGCCAGACTCTATCCGCCAGAGAAGACGGATGGAAATGACCTATTGAGTTATGACCAACTTCCATGTAATTTGTGACCTTGCGAATGATTCGTTGCTTCTACTAAGAATCCTCTATTAGGCCGTTATCCCATCATTTGCGGAATAGCGACAGTACATGAGTACGTACAGTTGTCAGGGGTAATAGCTAATTATTCGTTGATCTAACCCTATTTCTCTTATTTCCTTCAATCCAAAATTCACGAAAGAGCAGAGTTAGAGAAAACTGGAGAATCGGTGTGCTGTCGCTGCTCCGCAGTTGATGGGATACACCAGCACTCTCCAAAAGAACAGGCAACTCGGCAAAGGGATAAACATGTGGACTGATATTGTCAAAATTGGCTAGATCCATGGTTCTGCAAACTCAAGCACGCATCACTTCTTACATCAGGATATACGCTGCCAAGATCCGGCAGTAAATAGAGACGACAGCATCGTTGTCGGGAGCCGGAAACTGAGGAACTTACAGCTTGCTTCAACTTCAAAGGCGCTGTATCATTAAGTAGCATCGCGTGGTGATTGTTTGACAACTTTCAAATATATCGACCAAGCTCCTGACTTCCTCGCAGTATTTCGCGGTAATAAAGTCGAGCTAGTGAACCGTGACCTGTTTGAATGGGAGCTTCGATGGATTGGTGGGTAGCAATGCCAATTGCGCGACAATGAATGGAAAGTTGCGCAAGGACATTATGAGACTCGCCTTGGAGTCCCTTGAAGGTTGAGATATTATTCCCTTATTCATATCTAACGCAAGAGAAGATGACTTGTCAGGGATGAAACGGATGCCTCGCCTGACTGGGTCACCGGTCGCGGCTTCAGTAAGATACCGAGACCTTGCCGATGTGCCGCACCAACACGAAGCTCAAGTTGATTTAGTGTATTGCAAAACAGGGTTGAACACAGCAGGACTTGCACGCAATATTGGGGACGTGAATATTGCAGAATAGCTTGAGGTTTGTGTCTAAAATAGATTCGAATTCAGCAATCAATGATTGCTTCACACCGGCCTGCAAGCTTTACTCATAATGACATTATAGTCTTGGACATAACCTTCGTCAATGATTCGATCGATGGCAACGGCGTTGCGACTTTGGATGAGCTGAAATTCGAACAAAGTTACTCGTGTGCTATCTATCTAGCAAATCTCGTTCGTCGAGTCTACCAGAACATGTAGACTTTCCTTTCCGCCGCGCTCAATCAATCCGAACTGGGCCTCTAACTTTCGTCTTTTAAGGACATCATACTATCAACTTCTTTGTTTTCGTTAGGCGCTTATAGCTCAAGCTGTCAACTCCACCAATAGCTCTGATGAGATTCTATGCAAAGTTCCATACAACAACGTGACGGTGCAAGGCGCGTCTGTTTTCGTTAACATTGTCAAGTTCTGACCATATTGCCGGCTACGGAATTACTACGGTCGGAGTTTTCCCTGAATGCCGCAGGCCGTCGGGGTTTAGGACTTCTTCAAAAGTCCTTCCCAAGTACCTTATTTTTACAGCATTGATACAGGCGCCGTGTAAGAAATAAAAGTTTCGAGACTCCGGCCATAGAATCAGGTCCCGTAGCTATATTGTTCAACTATTGTTTCCGAAGCCTCAAAGTAAGGCATGGGATATGTGTGTCATTTGGAATTATTAGTATCGATTTTGCCTGAAAGAGGGATGTAATGCGCTTTCCCGAAGCATCGCCACGGTCTCTCCTGTGGTGATATCTCATAGAGTATTTCAATCGGTAAGTTCTTATGCCCGAACTCCTCTTAACACCATGGCTTTCGGAGCCGACAGTTGCGTCCTACCTCTGACTATTCGGACGCCAAGATCGGCTTTGTATAAAATGGAGACTGTGCCTCCATTCATTTATTAATGGCAGATTGTCTGACCAGTTCTCGAGCACACTCAACTTAGCTACCTTATTTAACGACGATCTCATCTAGTTTCATCAATGGACAAAGTTCACAAAAGCGGCGTTGCCATCATTGGCGCTGGGCTAAGCGTATGTTGTCGATCCAAACCTTTTTGCTTGCTTTGGGCGAACTAATTACCGCTCCTAGGGTACCGCTCTCGCCTTGGCCCTCAGTCAGAAGTCTATCCCGTGCCAAATCTATGAAGCAAGAAGCGCGGACGCAGATGTGCTTACCAGCGGCGTCGTTCTGACTCCAAATGGTTGTCGGGTTCTCGACGAAATCGGTGTCCTCAGCCGCATTGAAGCGAAAAGCTTTCTCTTCAAGCAGAGCATCATCAAGGATGGCGAGGATAAGACGATTGCGACGACGGATGTTTCTTCCCGAGACAAGAAGGGATATCCTGCCTATCGACTGTATCGTCTTACACTTCTGAAAGAAATGAAGAAAATGTTAGTGGAGCGAAATGTTCCGATTCACTATGACGCCAAGTTCGAAAAGATCATCAGCGATACCGCTGATGGGGTCTCATTTCAGGTCGGCAATGAAGTGAATCATGCAGCAATCATAGTTGGATCCGACGGCATACACTCTACCCTCCGTCGTTATCTTACGGACCGGGCGCCCGCTTACACAGGATTATTTTGCGTGTATGGACACATTCCAACGAGCCCTATCAATTGGCCTGACAAAGACTTCTACACTGGTAGCTGCACCGTCTTAGGCAAACCAGGCAGTCTATTCATGGTCCCCGAAGTAGCTGACGGTACAACGCTTATGGTCGGCACCCAATTTCCATACCCAGAGCAAGACCGCGAAGGATGGCAAACGTTAGCTGCTAAACCTGAGTCACTGGTTGCACTGCTTCACAATGACTATGATGAATGGCACAACACGGCAAGACAGATTCTCGATCAGTTATGCAGCATCTCAGATTGCCTTTTGAGTTGGCCGTTTTACGAAATGCCAAAGTTGCCTGCTTGGTCCTCATTGTCCGGAAATGTCATCATCATCGGGGATGCCGCTCACGCTATGCCAGCATCCTCCGGACAAGGTGTTAACCAGGCCTTGGAAGATGCTTATTCTCTGTCGAGGCTCATCGCTGTAGATTGGACAAGGGAAAAATGGCCACTCAGCCTTGAGATATGGCAATCTTGGCGACAGGCAAAAATTGACCGCGTACTTCTGATGACTCGAGCAACAAATCTACGAAGATCTGCAGAAGTCACCAGACAGACATCGAACGCAGCAGCTGGTTTGGAACCGGCACTGCTAGATCCGACTCGGTGGCTATTTGACTTGGACATAGAGAGCTTAGACGCAAGATTGGCAGCAATCTAGGATTGAGGTCTTTTTCGTCCGTTCAAGGATTCGATTCTACGGGAAATTCTCCAGACATCTGTCAAAAATATGGCTTTATGTACCAAAGTTGCTCCCGTTATCATCTTAGAACTTAACCACCTAGACTTCAAGACTCTGGACTTGAAGCAAGAATGCAGCAGGGGCCTCGGTCTTTCCATCTTCCAGCCCCCGAGGCAGACCTCTATAGTGACGTGCGTATGATGCAGAATCTTGCTTACTCTGTTTGAAATCTTTGTGAGATACGCGTGCAGGATTAGAAAGAGGGATGGCTTTATGCTGTTCTGCATCTCCTTGGCCACGAGACAGCTGACTTGCAACTCGATGCGGTCCAGTATGACTATACAATCATCGAGTACCTACGGCGGTACCCTTACATAAAGTACCGAAGTAAGATTGCGAAAACTTCATCGCAGAGACATAAGACATTCTTGGAATAACTACCGTCATAGTAATAGAATACTGAGTCTTTCAGAACATGCCCACTCAGTCCCGCCTTCGTGTTACCTAGGTAATTAACCTTAGTGGACATACTAAATCTATACCGTGTCCGGTCTTTATCACCTCCCTGTTTTCTGTCATTTTTCATGTATCTGATAGGCCAACCCTTATGTTTACTGACAGCGGCACAGCAAAACGTACTTAGCAAATGTGACCATGCCAACCAACATGCATGAACAATCTTGTGAAAGAGGGGTAGGCCGTCGAAAGGTCGAGAGTCATACAAGGCTCCTTGCTACGCCTGGTAATTAGACCAATATAGCATCCTTTTCCGCGAAAAATTTGCCCTCTCTGACGAGAAAAAAGCACAACACTTTGACCTCCGTCAGTATTTGGGCATCGACAAACGGCCCAGCATGTCAGCAGCACCTATAGCGCCCGCCGCAATGAGCTCGCAGTTGCCCAATGAGCCGCCGATCATTGCAGATGAATAGGTAAGCATCAAGAAACCGGTCATGTGCGTCTCGGGGGTATCTTGCTAAAAATACATTTATTTTTGTAGACCATAGCATCCTCAACAACTAGCCTTGCAGACTCGATTTACAATTTTCGTGAGGAGAATAGGCGCATATATCATCGATATAAGGATGGAAGTAAGTTCCTTCTGGTATTCTTTCCACGCCGCAAATTACTTTTTCTACTGATATGAAGCATCTCTGATCTGTAACGAATACTCCTATCCCGATAATGAGAGAGGAGGTGAGGACTGGGTAGGTCAGCTTTTCGAGCTCCAGCTTCTTGGAGCCCAATGTTGTTCATGCATTCTGCAGCCCTTTCAACATCACCAATTCCTCCTTTCCTTCGATGGAAAACTTGGCCTCTCCCCGCCAGACAAAGATGACTACCCCGCCAAGAGTGTTCTCGATGTTGGTACTGGAACTAGGACTTGGGCAATTAAGTTCGGTGAGCTCAACCCCGAAGCGGAGGTAGTGTACATCACTTCAAGTCAATGAAACCATCCACTGATAATGCTACTTAGGTAGTTCATTGGCATTGACTCTTCCCCCCCCCCCCCTTTGGCCGAGTAAGAATTCCATTCAAACACTGTGATCTGTAATTCCCTGGCCTACCTAGTCCAGAGTGCCGCCCAACGTTATATTTGAGGTGGACGACATCGAAGAACCGTGGACGTTCTCTTTGCCATTTGACTATATTCACAGTCGAATGATGACCTCTAGCATATCCAATTGGAGACGACTCATTCAAAATGCTTTTGAGTTCGTATCTTACTCGTTTGCCTTTTCATTCCGGAACCCCTTTAAAACCTCTGACCAAAACCAAAGTGATCTCACGCTCAGTGGCTACCTCGCGCTCCAGAAGATGGATCTCATGCCTCAATCCGATGACGATCAACGCTACGATTGTGCGGTGTTTTGCTCTTCTTGGGAAGGCGGCTACGGAACTTAATCGATCCTTTCAAGACATCCTAGATCTCGTCAATGTGATGAAAGAAATAGGTTTCGTCGATGTCTCAATCAAGGAGGTGAAGTGGCCAACGAATACGTGGCCCAAGGAGCAACACTATAAACTGATAGGGCAATGGGCCCACGAAAATTGCATGTCCGGATCGAGAACAGACAGAAGAGAGTAATTTACGGGGTTCTTGAAAACTAACAGGGTTGCCCAAACACCTTTTAAGGGCGGGGCACTACTTACTTTTGTTTTGTCCGGATCGAGAGTTGGACCAAGGCACCTTTGACACACGGTCTTGGCTGGAGTAAACAAGAAGTTGAGGTCTTTGTGGTCGAACTGCGAGAACAATTTAATGACCAACGCATTCATGCATACTGGCCTTGGTAAGTCACCCACATTACCTTTCCCGCACGGCGCTGATGGGAACTTATCACATTGCTGACTGGATTACTGTATAGTTATGCACTATATGGAAAAATCCTAGATCCACGTGATAGATCATGCGTACGTACCTTGCGCGAAGTCTCGATGAAACGAACTGGGCCAGGCCACCTGCTTCTGGAACTTTTGCAATACACCTGGCATGTTATTCTATCGTAAAATGGCCACATTTTGTTCACTTTGAGAGAAATGCAAGTCTTTTTTGAATCAAACGAATGGATATCAACGTGCTTGCCTATGGCCTAGCCTGAGAAGTAGGACTCACAGACCTATCAGTCGTCACAGAGTGTGTACTGCCTTTGGAGGAGCTTCCTCTATTCCACATCTCGAATTCCCTCGCTATGTCATCCAGCCCGGTATCAACTGGCGACAGTGACAATTCCGTTGATGGGTCGTCTGAGATCTTGCTGAACTTATCTCTCCTATAGGTCGGTTGGTATTCCTCAAAGGGTGTTGCATCCGTTGTTTTCTTTGGCTTTCTGCTAACCAAAAATCGTAGTAGTGGCCGAAGTGCAGGAAGGCTTGCACACAGAATTGCACACGAGACTTCAACTAAAGACCAATTGATGACGTCCACATTATCCCAGGTAACATCAGATGTGAACGAAAGATGAACCAGAAATTTCAATCTGACCATACTAGTGACGCATCCACTAAAGTACCGACGTAATGGTCAGCGAGTTCTTTCCGTAAAGAGACTGGCTACTTACAATGACCCCAGCCCAAATATCAGACTGAGCCAGAGTTTCTTCTTGGTACTGAGCTGAAGTCGAAGAAGCTCGGGAATTGGAAGAAGAAGGATAGCAATGTCCTCGATAACGCTGAATACTGCACCGGAGTAGCCAATTGCTACGATATTCATGCATTTTCTAGATGGATCGTCGAGATTCCAGGTTGAGGTGACTGGCGTGCATTCGAAAATGACAAGGAAGAGGAATATCGCCGCGTGCAGAATTAAGAACAGGATGAAGAGTTGAGTTGTAAGATAGAACCATCGAGAAGAGAAGAAAATGCGCGAGAAGAAAAGCAGAAGTGAGATCTTAGCCATAATCTGGGCCAAGATATAAAGTTGTTCGCCGATATAGAACATCTGAATGAGTCTTGTGCTAGCCCAAGGTTCGACATGCCAGTAGTGCAAGCCAAAACCTAGACCGGTTCCCGCAATTTGGATGCCTGTTATTGCGGCGAGAAGGATCTGGTATTGGTTTGTTAGTATCCGATCCCCATACGTCGCTCAATCTTCATTCTTTAGATTACATACCGTTGCTGCAATGATCATCCAATCATCCCACCAAAGTCGGTGGTCAACCAAATATCGTGAAATGCATCGAAGTCCAACGACAGTGAAGGCAATGATAGATAATGATAATGCCACTGCTCTTGCTTCTTCTCTTCTTGACGGCTTGGGGAAGGTGGCACAGAGGTCTGTCTCAACTTGAGCAGCACCTATTGAGACATAAATCATCATCGATTCCATTTAAGGATGGCGTCGCGCATGGCCTTACGCTTTTGGTCCTCGAAAGAACATTTCAGACGAACACATGACGACAGGTCTGCCTGGAGTTCAATGTCTATACACAGACAGTTGGCGATAGTAGAGACAGAGTCCAGCTTACAGCCCCCATGTTGGAGACCAGTAAGAAGGCAAGGAAGCTGCAAAGGCAAACAGCATGTCAGTTTTGAAGTCCCTCAACTCTATCATGCCGCGATATTTGAGCAGCGAATATGAATCGAAATCAAGTTAGGTGTACTCACCGCGCATGACGGAATCTGTGATACAAGGCTGGTGAGAGTGGTTTCCGCACCCCGTACGGACGAAAAGTATGGCGATAGCAAGAGCACGAAAAGGTGATGCTTCATTTGCCTCATGTTCGCCGAACCATTCCACGCGGAATGAGGAACGTTGCCAAACGTGGACCTGAAAAGTAAACGCAAATGGAGGAGGAAGGGCACAACGTGCCCACTCCCAAGTGAAGAGGGCTGTTTTCTGTACATAAACAGTGGATGAAAATTTGAAGGATGCACTAATAACGGGTTATGGCGTATGGCGTCCCTCTGAAACGCCGTGCCGGTTGCTAGTGTCCAAGCATCTCTGCACTATTGAGCACTAAACTTGCGCCGTAAGACACCAGCTCTTGATGCCATAGCCAATTCCGTGTGATCTACCACCTCAGGAGACGAAAAGGGGTTGAATAAGCCGTCTACCAGAGGACATTGTCGCGTTAAACACGTTGCCGGTGCCAATGCAATGTACGGCAATTATGCCGAACGCGTCGCTTGCGCGCCTCTATCGCAGTCTATATCCGGATAGAGAGGACAGTCAAATTAGGCCGTCGTGGACCTACCTTCAGCAGGTAGAAGAGAACTGAGCTTTGAAGAATCGTCAGGGTCACATTGAGAGTCCAGATTGGTATGGTGCCCTTCTCCGTTCAGCTTGGCAATAATAATTTAGGCGAGGAGAAGATATCATCAACATTGTCCTAAATAGCCTACCAACAAAGCAGCGCAAATTCTGGGGCTTGCAGGGAAATAGCTATGCCCTCGTCTTTCGATCGTAACGCCCTTTTCATCATTATTCTTCTCATTTAGTCCCCCCTCTGTGGTAGTTCCTATACTAGGACACCAAG